TTTAAGATATTGTCTGTCCTTGAAAGTGAGATGAGTTTTTTCCAGACAATGAAAAGATGGGTTTTGTTTCTTAATCCATTCCCCTAGTCTGTGTCTTTTGACTGTGGAGTTCTGTCTGTTAATATTTAAAGTTATTAGTGAAAGATGGGTATTGAATGCTGTCATTTTTATTTCTGTTTACATTCTTGATGTAGCTCTACTTTTCCACAGTTATACCTTCATTGGATTTCTTTCTGAAATCCCTTGGGTATAGTTGTTCCTTCCTTCAGCTCTTTGTATTGCTTCCAGAACTCTCTGAAGGGCTGGTTTTGTGGACATGAATTCCTTCAGCCTATTTATGTCATGGAAGATTTTTCTTTTCCCTTCAACTATAATAGACATTTTGGCTGGGTATAGTAATCTGGGTTGGCATCTGTGGTCATTTAAAACTGGGAATACTTTGGTCCATATGTGACTTGTTTCTCTTTTGCAGCTTTCAGTATTCTCTCTTTGTTCTGTATATTTAGTGTTTTTACTATGATGTGCCATGAATAGTTTCTTTTCTGGTCCTGTCTATTTGGTGTTCTATATGCTTCCTGTATTTGTATGGGCATGTCTTTTTTTAATTTGGAGAAATTTTCTTCTGCAATTCTGTTGAAGATCTGTTCCACACCATTATCTTGAGATTCTGTATCTTCCTGTATGCCTATGATTCATAAGTTTGGTTTTTTTTTTTTTTATAGTGTCACACAATTCTTGCATACTCCCTTTTTGTGTTTTCTAAATTTTTCATAATCTTTGCTTGAGTGATCTAGTTTGTCCATTTTATCTTTCAGTCTTGATACTCTGTTTTCCATTTCCTTCATCCTATTGGATAGGCTTTCTCCTGTTGTTTTTAATTGGATTACTGAGTATTTCACTTCCTTCTTCATTTCAGCCTGAGTATTTTTCAGTATTTCTAACTCTTGTCTGAATTCATTGAGAAGTTTATCCCTATCTTCCTTCAGTTCTTTGATTTCTTTGTGTGTTCTTTAAATTTACTGAATTCTTTTATCATGTTTGTAATTATTCTTTTGAGTTCCATGTCCTGCATTATCTCTCGGGGTTTCTCATTGTACTCCCCTAAAGGACTATTGATCATTGTACTCCTCTAGAGGACTATTGGTATTTGGTAGGGATATGTTGTTTTTTCATGTTATTATTTTTTCTTTGTGATTTTGACATGTGCATTTCTTTTGTAGTTTCTGATTCTTGTGTGAGACGCAAGCCTTCAGGTTTAGGTCTCCTTCTTTTTATGAACTTTATGTGTCTTTGTGGTTTACTTTTTAGGCATGAAAAGCTTGTTCCTGTAAGCTCCCAGTTCTTTCTTTTGATTTTATATGGGAATGGCCAGATTGCTTTTATCTTACCCCACAATTTCCCACAGAGGCCCAAGTCAGATGAGGATCAGATGCCCTTAGGCTTTCTCCTAAGGTCTGGATACCTCCAGGAAAGATTTTGGCCTCAGAAATTTGGGGGGTCGGACTGGCCTGGGATCCTGACCCAGGATAGATTCTGGTCTAGGGCAGCTGTTGGCCATCCCACCTAGAGCTGCAAAGGCAGATGGGGGCGGAGGCGGCCCCAAGGGCTCCTGCGAACTGCATTGTGGAGCTGGGTTGGCCTGGAGCAAAGCATCAGGAAGAGGAATGTTCAGTCCTGGTGTCCAGGAAAGAGGCTGGAGGGTGGTGCAGACCCAGGGAGGCAGAGGGAGGTGAGGGCGGGGCCAGGCCCAGAATGCACCTGTGGACTGGAGAAGTAACTGAGTTGGTCTGCATGCAAAGGATCAGGAAGCACTGGTGGTTCCCCAGGTGTCTGGGGCCCCAAGTCAAGGAATGGGACAGCACACAGGCTAGGAGGAGAGACCTGCAGGGGAATTGGGTGGGTGAGTGAGGCTAGGGGAATCAAGGCAGGGAGGGCAAGATGGACTTACCCCAGAGAGAGAGGCCTTCGGATCGGAGAGTGGCCTGCGGGTTGTGCAGGCCCAGGGAAGCAGAGTGTGTAATTCTTTTAAGTCTTCATTTCATTAAATTTTGCTTTTGATCTTTATTTCTTGCCATCTAGTGCTCTTGAGTTTGTTCAGTTCTTGTTTTTCTAAGGCATTGAGGGGATCATTATTTTTTTGTGATCAATCTGATTCTTTAAGTACTTTGCCACTATAAAAATTTCCTTTTTGAATTGCTCTATCAATTCACAACGGTTCTGGTAAGTTGTGCTTTCATTTTTATTTGGTTCAAGGAATTTTTAAATTTCTTTTATTAAAATTTTTAATTTATCTTTTTGGTGGAGATGGGAGAGTTTCTGCCACCACATGAGTGTGGAGATCAGAGGACAACTTGCCAGACTCAGTTCCTTCCATTGTGAATCCCTGGAATGAAACTCCGATTCTTATGTTTGTGAGCAAGCCTCTTTACCTACTGAGCTATCTGGCCAACCCTCTTCTTTATTTCTTGTGACCTGTTATTAATTTGAATGTGTGTTTTTCAGTCTCATTGTACTTACATAGTTTCTTTTGGTATTAATTTCTAGTTTTATTACACTTATGTGATATAAGAAATTATTTTGATTTTTAAACTATTTAACAATACTTGCTTTGTGACTAGAATGTGATCTATTTTAGAGACGTTTCCATGTACCACTGAGAAGAATGTCTATGTTCTATCTGTTGGATGGAATATTCTGTATATATCTGTTAAATCCTTTTGATAGTAGATTCAGATTAACTATTTTCTGTGTTGATTTTTAGTTTGGATGACATAACTAAAGATGAAAGTGGAGTATTCTCTATTATCAGTGAAAGTACAGACTTTTATGCCCATTAGTATTTGTTTTGTGAAATTAGAAGCTATCCAATTGGGTGTATGTGTGTAGTGTGTATGTGTGTGGGGGTATTTTTTAAAATTATTATATTGTCTTGATGAATTGTTCCCTTTAGAATGTAGTGACTTTTTAAATAATCAACTCTAATTCTGGTTTGAAGTCCTCTTTTTCAGTTGTCAAGATAGATACCAGCTTATTTCAACTTCTGTCTGCTTAATAAGTTAACTTCTGTCCTTTAATTCCCAGTCAATGAATATCTTTGTCCATGAGATTTTTTTTTAAGAAAGAAAAGATAATTAGATTTTTTTTTTTCAATTCAGCCTACCAGGCTGAATATTTTTATTGCTGATTTGAGGTCATTCACATCTAAGGTTATTATTAGAGAAGTCTCCTATTTCCCTATAATTTTTTGGTTGCTTTTTCTGAATTGGTTGGATTATTATCATTTTCTCCTAAATAGGGGTTTAGTAGCTTATTGTTTGGACATGGCTGTTTCTTTTCTAGCTCTTTTTTAAAAACATCTATTTCTCTTATGAGTTTCATTCTTTCTCTTCTCTCATGATTGTGACTCTTCTCTCTGTACTCTTTTAAATATCTTCTACATTTCTAGCATAGTGGTGGTTACAGTTTTAATTTGTTCTTGTCTTGAAAAGTCTGTCAATTAAAAATAAGTGACACATATAGCATTGTATATATAGAGAGAGTCTTGACAGGTGTTAATTTACTTTTAGGGGTTGGACTATGATGTTCTATGCCTTCCTAGATTTTAGGTTGCTAATGAGAGATTTGATGTTATTCCATTGTATTTGCCTTTGTAGGTGATTTGGTGTCTTCCTTGTACAGTTTTTGATATTGTTTCTTTGCCTTATAATTTTGAAGTCTTTACTATATTGTGGGGCAGATCATGCATCATCATTTCTCTTTGGAGTATTCAGTGCTTGTGTGTTTGAATGTCCATTTCTTTTCTGCTACAATTTCATTAAATAGATTGTCTATGCCTTTAGTTTTTATCTTGGCTCCTTCTACCATTTTGATTCATAGGTTTGGTCTCCTGATAATATCCAGGAGTTCCTGGACATTGTGCTCATGCTCATTTAATTCTTTTTCTTACTGATGTTTAGGTGCAGTGTATTGTCAACCTTGTCCTCTTTCCCTGATTTTTCCCCTTCTTCTTAGTCAAATCTACTAGTGAGTCTGTCCCCTGCGGTTTTTGTTTATCATTGAGGTTTTTTTTATTATTTCCATCATTTCTATTTTTTCTGAAAATCTCAATTTTCTTGTTGAATTTGTTTTTCATGGTTTCATTTTTTTTCTCTATTTTTTTTTTTCCCTCTCGGTCCTGGATTGATTTACTTACTTCATTCATTTGTATATTATTGACTTTGAATTCATTGATCATTTCTGATTATAAACTTTTATGGCTTTACCTGGCATTTTATCCATTTTTGTATTCTTTCAAAAAATTAAAAAAAAATCATTTTATATGTATGAGAGTATTGCCTGAATGTATGTAATTGCACCTGTGTTGTGCAATGCCCACAGAGGTCGGAAGAGGGCTTCAGATCCCTGGAACTGTAGTTATGGATGATTGCTAGCCACCATGTAGATGAAACCAAACCTGGGTTCTCTGCATAAGCAGCCAGTGCTTTTAACCACTAAACCATCTCTCCATCCCCCCATTTTAGTCTTCTTGAATTTAATAGTTATTATTTTTTAGAGTTGTTGCATTGATTGTTCAGGTTTCTTGTGTTTCTGTGTTACAGTTTGTGCCACTGTGGGCTTGGATATCTCTTCCAGTTTTATTTGGGAATATTTTTAATGATTTACCTACTCTTGGCCACTCAATCCCATCTACTACTTTTAATGAGGCCTCTTCCTCCTGTTTCCCTTGCAAAGTGTGTTTGCCTTATCTTTCTTTCTTTGGTCCACTGTCTTTTCATCTCTTTGTATTTTCTATCATTCCTTTAATGGATGTCCAAAGCTCTTCTTCCCTCTCTCTCCTCTGGTAGATGCTATTTTTTGACATTTCTCTTTTACCAGGTCAGATGGAGGTAGTTACTAGTCCCCCATCTTACCCCAGATTTTTAGATAAACAAACCTTATTTTCAGTTGTATGATTCTCACAGTATAGTAGGTTTTAATCACTTTTATTCTTGCTTTTCTAGGGGAATGTGACCCTAGAAGAATGTCATTCCCAGAAAGACATTTTGCAAAGACAAATTCAATTTTCAAACCAAGCAATTTCATTAAACACTTCAGGGAATCCTCAGATTCCCCAAAGGAGTCAAGAACCTTTACCAGAACAAGATTTTGAGATGTCACCAAGCAGCCCTACACTACTTCTTCGAAACATAGAAAAACAGGTAAATATAGAGTACAGTGTCTTCATATGTGAAATAACTTCAAAGGTTTTTGGTTTTTTTGCGAGGTGTGGTGGTGCATACCTTTAATCTTAGCACTTGGGAGGCAAAGGCAGGCAAACCTTTGTGAGTTCAAGGCCAGCCTGGTCTACATAGTGAGTTCTATGCCAGCTGGGGCTACAGGGAGACCCTGTCTCAAAGAAAAGACCACCACCAACCACAGCAACAAGAAAAAAACTATTTGACAGTGTTTGGACATGAAATATTTCTTCAGAAGTCTTGTGTTCAGTGTCAGACTCTAACTCATAGATCAGTAATTGAGAGGTAATTGGTATGAATTTTCTGACCAGATTAATACATTGAAGGACTCATAATTCGTTAGATGTCAGAAGGCTGGGTCTTTTTGGAGAAAGTAGATCACTAGGGACAAATTAAAAAAAAAATCATATACCATGTTGACTCCTTTTAGGGATGCAAGGATGGTTTAATATATGAAAATAAATAAATGTATAGCACATAAGTAGTCTCAGGCACAGAAATTTCATTACCTCAAATTATATCAAAGAGGCCTTTAACAGAGTTCATCATCCCTTCATGAAAAAAGCCTTGAAGAAATTTTGAATTGAATGAACATGCCTAAACACAACGTAATAATATACTTTGGGACCCGTTTTTCATGCATATGATAACCAATTGCCTAAAATTTTGAGATTATGAGTTTGAAGGTAGAACAATGAGAAGAGCCGTCAATATTTCAGACTGGAAAAATATTAGATATTCAATAAATTTAATTGCATGACTAAACTAATTGCAATAATAAAGAATATGGGAAAATGTGCATTTTTAAAAAATAAAGTGTTTGCAACAAATGAAAAACTAATGTTGTATAAATCTCTGTAGGTTAAAACATTTTAAAAATGTAAGCATCACTGTGTTTCATGAGAAGGTACTATAGGTACTATAGACTTATGCAAACTGCAGGTGGAGAAATAACTCAAATGTTAATGATGCTTAACAGTACTAAAGGGTTGACTGTTTCTTTGTAGAGTGCACAATTGACTGAAATCATCAACAGTTTGATAGCCCCTCTCAACTTGTCTCCAACTTCATCACCCCTCCCTTCTAAATCCTGTAGCCACAAATGTCTGGCTAATGGCAGTTCAAGAAGGTAGGTATTACTTAGGTATTCTAGCTTCTCAAATTGACTTATGTTTTGTTGCTCTTTACCTATTATAGCTATTTTTTCTTCTACATTAAGGACTGCTATAGTACAATGGATACAATTTTATACATCTTTAAACTTATGGAATTAAGGTAATTATAAAACCTTGCAATGAGGAAGTACAACTTCTAGGAATTTTCCTTTCTAAAAAGCATACTAGTGATAATATTTACTATAGAAGTATTGCCTTACTATTATGATTTCCATTTTGTTCCATTTGTATTCTGTAGCTCCATGCTGTTCTTGCTGACCCTAGATACAGTTGGGGCACAAAAGATTGGCACATTTCACCATAAAATTCACCTTAAATTTTAATCTCTTGTTTTGCATCTTAGTATTTATACATTAGTTTTTTTTGTGAATGTATGTAATAGCATATAATCATTAGCAATATTTTATATGTTGTATCAGTAAAAATATATTATATGAATCTGAACCTTCTCTGAGAAACTTGTCTTATTTTGCTTACTTTGTTTATTTTCTGTTTAAAATTTTCTTCAAGATGCAGTTAGCCAGGGATATTAGTAGAAACTCATTTCTTTATGCATCATCTAATTTTCTTTCAAGTAAATTATAATTTTAATTCTTTGCTTTTAATTCCCATATAGGAATAAAAGTAATTTTGTATTTGGAAATTTTTATGTTAGTAATCACATGGTTCATTAAGAACTTTTAATACAGAAAAAAGAAAAAATTATACTGTGGTAAAAATCATATTAAGTAGCCATCCCATTTTTAAATTATACTAGGGAATATAAACTAAGTCTTTTAAAAATATTTATTATTCTTATTTTATGTGTATGAGTGCCTGCATATTATAAGCACATCACATGTGTGAAATGCTTACTAGTTCATTTCTGTAATCTTAGTATATGTGAGGTTGAGTCAAGAGAATTGCTGCTGGTTTGAGGCCAGCCTAAGCTATATAGTGAGACCCTGTCACAGATGGGCTGGAGAGATTGCTCAGTGGTTAAGAATGCACAGTGCTCTTGCAGATGATTCAAGTTCAGTTCCTAGCACCTATACCTGGAGGCTCACAGCCTTCTATAACTCCAACTCTAGAGAATCTAACACCCTCTTCTGGATGCATGGGGACCTGTACTCACATGTGCACATGCCTGCCTTCTCTCAACCCCTGCACATAATTTTTTAAAAACAGACAAAAAAGAACATCACCGTGGAATTAGTCCTTAGTTCATTGTCAACTTGGCCAATTGGTAGGATTCTAATCCTAAATAATTTTGTATATTGCAGGAAAAGAATAGTCAAATTTTCATGGTGATGCATACCTGTTACCCTATCACTTGGGCAGCTAAGGCAGGAGCATTTCAAATTCAAAGCTAACTTGGGCTACATAGCTAGACTGTATCTTAATATATACATATAGATATATTTGAAGGGCTAGGGATGTTGCTCATTTGTAGAATACTTGCCTAGCATGTATGAAGCTAGTACCGATTACTAGTACTAAAGGGAAAAACATATGGGAACCGTCCATTTCTTGGTGGTTATGAAGATCAGATAACAAATGCTATTTTATTTTGTTACTGTTTTTACATTCTTGTTATCTGTGGAGGTCCTTTGTGATTTCAGCTGTATTTTCTGTAGTTAACCATGTATAAGTAACCTTTTAAGTAAAATGTTTTCATTCTAACAAAGCATACCTTCCTCTAGTTTTACATCACATTGTATCATAATTTGTGCAAGTTATGGAAGAAATTTCAATTTTTAAAGTTTATCAGTCTAGTCTGTGAATTAACTTTTTGGGCTGCATAGAACTTACTTTTTGATACATATTTTTTAAGCATTTAGGGTCATTTTGTAATATCCTAATAAACTCTTCTCTTAATGTCTTTAAACTCACTGGTTAATTATTTTCTGGAGAATTTGTTTGTACACTTGTTATTCATTGATTTCTAACCCTCATTTATTATTTAAAGGCAGTATCTACCAAAAATGGTTATAGTTTGATTTTTTGTTTGTTTTAGTTTTATTAATCCTAGCACCAGAGTCTGAGATAAGTCACTAAGTACTGAACAACTATATAAGTCTTCAAATAAATGAAGCATTATGGCTCAGCAGTTAAGAGCACTAGCTGCTCTTGAAGAGGACCTAGGGTCAGTTTCCAGCACACACATGGTGGTAAAAACCATATGCAACTGCAGTTTCAGGGGATCAATCGCCTTCTTCTGTTCTCTGTGGGTATTGCATGACATAGGTGCACTTACGTTCAGGCAAAGCACTTACACATAAAATAAAAAACAAATAAAAAATATTTTAATAATTTTTTATTTAATAATAAATAAAAATATTTTAAATGAAGCATTATATTCTGCCATAGAGGTAGTTTAAAGTTTGTAGACCTCATATTACAACATGAAGATAAAATGTTGTAAATAGATCCTCGGATTATTATCTCTGAGAAAGTAAATTTCTGCTTGAAATGAAGTCTAGATTTTTGTTGTTTGTTTTTGCTTTAATGAGTCCCAGAATGGGGTATGAAATTAAATTCCAATGAATCATTGCCATACTATTTATTTCCATAAATGGTAATTATCTCACATGAAATGCAACTGTTCCTTCTAATTAGGTGTCATAATTGAAAAGCTGAAGCTACATTGTCAAACTCATCACATGTGATTAGTTTTCACTAGTCAGTGCTCAGTTATGAAAAACATTGTTTGCCAACAATATATTCCAAGTTAATGTTTTCAATATAAGTTTGGATTCTATGGATGATGCTAATTATCATATTAGCTAGATGTATGATGTCAATATGGATATAAAACACACCTGCTGTATTTTGAAATTATGCTAGTAGGAGTAAAACACTTTCTTTTCCTTTTTACCTCTAACAACATAAGTGTAAAACCCAATTTTATATGAAAGAATTTACTGAATGTAAATTACGTATGTATAAAATATGCACTTATATAGGAACAGATTTATTTTGGATTATTAAGTAGAATAATCCAAATGTAGCAGTTTATTGTATAATGATTTCTTAGAAAAATATTTGGAGGGTATACAGCAAAATTTTAATGAAAATATTATTTCATTTTAGAAGAAAATATTTTTGGGGGGTACACATGTGATTGGGCATGCTTGTAGAGGTCAAAGAACATCTTTGAGTATTGGTCTTTAGGTACCTTTTGACTTTTGTTGGAGACAGGGTCTCTCATTTACCTAGAACTTTAGTAAGTAGGCAAGGCTAAGTGACTAGCCTCCACAGATCCACTTGTTCCACTTTCCCATCTCATAATTGCTGGGGTTACAAATGCTGTCCATCTCATCAGGCTTTTTATATGGGTTCTGAGTGATCCAAACTCATGTTTTAATGCTTTTGAGGTAAGTACTTTATCAAATTACCCATCTCCCTAGCTCCTTAACTTTAAATTTTTTACCAATTTTACTTAAAATGAAAGATACAATCTTATTCATCTATATACCGACATCCCAAATGGCACCCTCCCATAGACTCCCCCCCCACTGGAGCCCATTAATTCTGTGATCCCTGTTACTGTCCACTGTGTTGTCAATGCCCCCAGCCGTTCTCCAGTACTTGTCCATCCTATCATCATGTCAGCCTATCTAGAGTTCCTTGTTTTAGGAAGATCAGCTCCTCCTCATCTAGTAGCAGTCAGTTGCCAATATATCTTTAGATAAGATTGGGGTCTGCTGTTCATTTTCCCCGTTCTATGCCAAATTACTGTTTGGGAGTCTCTTGGGCCACCCTGGCCAACAACTCAAAGGAAGGTATCTCCCTGTCTGGCATTGTTTCTTGTTATGTAGCTTTTAGCTATACAAATTGACTCTTAAAGAATTATATTGATCCCTTTAATCTTTGGTTATACTTTCCTTTTGGGTGTTTTAGACCATACAGTTGGCCCAGATAAACCAATTTATTTACTCTTAAGGTCGTTTGAGGATCTGTTCCTCAGGGGTCACATGGGCTTGGGAAAGCCCCTGGCTCCTTTCTTTTACCAGTTCCATCTATGTGAAGATAAGTCAAAGGTGCTGCTTGACTGTGGCTGGCTTTGCTTGGAAGCATGGAGGAAATGATTCCTCTGAGTTGACCCTCCTCTTTGTAGACTGGACACTGGTTCAAGTCCATTTGGTGGGGTCTCCATGGACTCCTTGATCAAGAGGACAGGTGACTCACCGCAGTTACAGGACATTTTGAGAGATGCTCATAGTCCCCTGGAGCTTAGTTGACCTAGGAGGGCAAGGAAAAAAACTATCCTTTATGTCCCTCTGAGCAAATTAGTATAGGCCTCAAAGTATGTCTGTTAGACATCCAAGAAGGTTAGTTCCACCAGTCTGGTACTTTTAATTACCATGTGCTATGTAGATAAAGCTTGGGCAAAGACCTATCGTTCTCAGATAAACCTTGCCTAGACATGTATTATATTCCTTGAGCTAGTTGTATGTATAATTTGTCAGTAGGTTGTTCAACTAATGTGGTTCCCTCTGGTTTTTTTAAACTAGCTCGGCATTATTTATCTCTCCCACTGTCTAACCCTTCCACGGTGGTTTCCCCATTTAAAGTGCCCCCATTTATTCTCATTTCTCCCTTAATAATATCCTTCTCCTATGGTCCTGCCTCTCTTGAGCTTCTTCTTTCCCTTTATCCCCAAGGCTCCTTGTATAACCCTCCCTCTCCCCTCCCCTTAAAAACACCCCATTTTTATCCATATCTCCCTTATTAATGTCTGTTTCCTGCTGTTCTCCTCTTTTAGGTTCTTTGTTTTCCTTTACCTCCCTGGTTCCTTTTCATTACCTGGTTCCTGTAGTTATGTCTGGATACATACGATGATTTGGTGCTAGGATCCACCCATGAGGGAGAACATACTTCGTCTTTTTTTTTTTTTTTTTTTTCTGAATCTGTGTTACTTCACTTAGCGTTGCTAGTTCCATTCATTACCTGCAAATTTCATTTCATCTTT